AAACATCCAGCCCTCAGGGCTGGAGAGAAAAGCTTAGGAAAATGAATCCTAAATGACCTAGCATTCAGGCCAATAAAAAGAGCCTGGCATCAGTTGTCATGTAAATAATAAGCTTCTAAACCAGACATTACATGTTCCAGTAGTGCTGTAAACTTCAGTTTGTTAAACCTGTTTCTCCTGCAGCGTGGGTGACTGGGAGACTTGGTGGCAGCCTTTCATAGCCTGCAAAGCATCATCACCATCCTCCTCCTCCTCAGAACTGCCAGTTCTGAAACAACTTTTGATGTTGAATTCTATGGCTGGAACTCTGCAGGCAAGTTGGTGTCTCTTGGCTTTGAGGGGGATACATGGAGAGCAGTTCCCTATGTTCTGCGTGTCCCCTGGCTGCTCTTTGACAGTAAGTGGATGCTTTGGCACATGGGTCTGGCATTTTTACCTTCACACACCAGGGTTATGTCCAGCTCCAGGCTGGTGATACAATGACTTTGGCAGTGATATGTTGAAATTAATAAGGGCACAATATAAAAAAAAATGGTAATATCAATTAAATCAAACTGGTGTTGGCCACTTTTTTCTGGAGCGTCTGTCAGGCATGCTGGGTGTTAAGGGTGGTGAATTTTCCTGCCCAGAGCTGGCTTAGTTTTGTAAAGCAGTAGCTTTAACTTTGTACTGAGAAAAGTGCTTGGCTAAGGCTTTACTGGTAAAAACAAACTACCCAAAAATGCTTTGCTCAGATTTCTACTGGCATCAGTAGATAAAGTAGTTTCCCCAGTTTATTTCCTCAGTGTTTCCTGCAAGCAAATATATATTGATAAACTAAATTAATTCCTTGATTAATCATATCACATTCTACCAGTGAAAAACAGAGCTTTCATCCCTAGAAATCTTTATGTGAAAAAGATAGCTGGCATGTGTGGACGCATCCTGGTGGAGTGATGGGGCTGGGCAGAGCTGAGGCAGGAGGGTCAGCCAGAAATGAAGGCAGTCGTCTGTGCCGTGGTCTCTGTTTGCATGTGATGCCTCATTTAGGAGATATGTGAGAGAACTGGGAGAGAACTTAGGGGATCCTGTTGTTAGCTGCTGCAAAGTAGGAGCTCTGTCATGCTTGCATTAGGGTTTTGGGGACTGAATACCAGTTGGAAGGAAGATCAGGGACTAAGTGTCCCATCCATCACTACTGGGCCTCAGGTTCTTGTGTACTTGCTGTCTGGTGAACCTTCACAACAGCTGGTGGAGCTGTGCGTTCCTCAGTGCCTATCCATGGCTGCCAGAAGCACTTGTCCAAGCAGCAGTTGTCTCAAAACCTTTTGTCCCTTTCTTCTAAACCATCTTTGTGTCCCTGGTTTTCAGGTGCCACTGCACAGTGTGAGGGTTGGGATCTGCTGGCCACCTTCTTTGGCAACTCTATCCAAAAATGTCTGGTCCCCAGGACTCTCCTGGTGTGGGAAGAGGTCCCAGACTGCAGCTGGAAGCATGAAGAGGAGATGTGGCAGAGGGCTGATCTGTGTGTATGCCACTACTGGTCCCAGTGAGTAGGTCTGACTGAGGGTCAGTGCTTATCCAATAAACTGCCATCCTGTCACTGTCATGTCCTGGCAGTGAAAGACACACTGATAAATCCAGTATTCAGTGGGGCACAATGCACTGAGGGAAGGCAGCTGGCAGGAGATGTGGAGTTTGCTCCACAAACTTTACAACCTAAGTTACAATAAGGTGAAATTACCCCTGGTTTGAAGAGTAAAAACATCTCTGTTATTAGCTCTGTTACTTTGAGCTGAAGGATTGCACCAGGTGGATACAGATCTCTCTACATCCCTCCAGGCTAGCTTACAGTGAAGGACACCTCCTGCAAGGAAATCCTGAGAGAACAGAAGTTGTCCAGAATACTAAAATTTAACACTACTTTTTCTCAAAACTTGCTCAACCTTTAGTGTCACTTGGCCAGATAGAAATACAGATTGGGTCTTATTAAAACATCCTGGGATATATAACTGCTCAGAATTCCCACTACCAGGATGCTCTGCAAGAGTTACACTGAGAAAAAACTCAAGCCCTAAAGCTGATGGGAGAAGACATCAGCTGAGCACTGGGGACAGACAGTGCTTGACCAAATGCTCCCATCCAGATGGGCAGAACTTCCACATCAATCAATGTAATCTTAATGACCACATATAATCTACGTGCAACACAGACACTACAAGAGAGGAGCTGCCCTTCGTAGGATTACCCCAGTGTTATATCTGTAGACCTGGGATTTACAACACTGATGAGTGGTTTATGCCTATTTCAACTTAGGGAATGTAAATGCATCATGAAAATAAGCAGGATCAACCGAACCCCTGCAATTATGCTTTCACTTACCTGAAATGCTTTATACTGATACACTCTTCTGATTCATACTCATGCACCACCTAATGATATATTTACTAGCACACTTTTCTAAGAAGCAGTTTGGAGGTCTGGGGAAGACGTGGGGCTGCCTCCTCCACCCTGAGGAGGTTTGACCACATCTGCCCACAGCAGCTCTTTGGCAGGATGGGGGACAATGCACAGGTAGGTGAGGAAATCTCACCCTGATCCCACTTCTAACCAAAGATCCTGCAGTTTCCTGTCAGAGCAGCCAGGGAAAAGAAAGTACAAGTTGTGGATTTGAAAAGTGAAGCTGCTTTTGGGTTATGATGCAAGCCCTACTTTTTTCTTTTCCTTCCCAATAAACTTTCAATGTTAAGAGTTTCACAAGCTAAAAATAAGGAAATCACTATTGTAAGACTCAAATTTTCTGTGATATTCCGAAAATTTACGGCTGAATTCCCAGCCTGCCGCTGCCGGGCTAGCAAGGGAACTGGAGTTAAGTACCACTGTACAGCCGCGTCTAAATGTCACCGCTGGCTGCGGTGGGAAACCAACGCTCTGAGCGAAGCTGCCTGCCCTCCCCCGGACAACAGGGAAAGCGCAGCCGGTGGAACCGCTCCGTGCCAGCCGCGGGGCTGCAGCCGTCGTCCCTCTCCCTCCGCCCCGCCCCAGAGCCGCGATCCCGACCCCGAGCATCGGGGGGCTCCGCACTGGGCCGGCGGCGTGGCCGGAGGGAGAGACTGGGACGGGAAAAAGCTGGTTTGGGCACTAAGCCTTTCTGCGAGTGCCATCCAGGGGACGAGAGCTGTACTTCAGCTGCGGCTGGAGGGGATGAGGGAGTCCGGGGCGGGCGGGGGTAGAGCGGGACCTTCCGTGGGTGTCGGTTTGGAGTGAAATACCTGCCTGAAGCTTTCCAAGTCCAGCCCAGAGCTCAGCCTATCCCCGGGACTGGGGTACAGTGGGGTTGGTAAGGTGAGAAGTGTCGGGGGTTTGTGAACGGACCGTCACCTCCACAGCCGGTCTATAAATCCGAATATAGGGGTCAGGGTTTGTGTCCCACCCCAGAACCCCTCCGCTGGGGGGGGGTTGAGGGGGGTGACAGCGGGCTTTGAAAACCCGGCCCACACTGCCGCCGGTCTCCAGCTGGGGCTTAGCGGGTGCTTAAAGGGGATCAACCACGGAGCTGCTGGAGGAGGAGCCGCGAGGAAGCGCGGTTTTCCCTCCTTGCTGTTTAAATCAATGGGGGGGGGAACGGGAACCTCTGTTTTCAGCTGCTGTAACTCCCCACGTGCTTTAGCAGGCAATTTTTGCGCTGTTCGCCTGCGGTGCAAGGGGCTGCCCGCGGGACCGGGACCCCTCCCCATCCTCCGGGACCCCCTCCGCCGCTACCGGCGAGGTGTGGGTAGTACCCGGGCAGAGAGCGGGGTCGATGAGGAGGGACCGTGTGTCTCACCTTGATGATGAGCGGGTTGCACAACATGCTGTCCCGAGCCACTCCCAGCCGCTCGTTCTCGCTGCCGGGCTGCACCTCAGCCAGGGTCAGCGGTCTCCGCGGGGCCGCCCCCTTGCCGCCCGCCATGTAGCTGCCCGGGTTGCCCCACACCATGGTGGGGGGAGCAGGGGCTGAGGCAGACGCCGGGGCCGTGGCCGTGGCACTGGTCAGGGCCGTGGCTGTGGCAGCGGAGCCGAGAGAGCTCAGCAGCGGTTCTCCAGCTCCAGCCCGACAGCGCTGAGGGGGGAGAATAGCGGTGCCCCGTCTCCTAGCAACCACCGTCGCACGCCGCTGGTCCGTCACTTTACTAGGTCCGGCTGGGAACGCTTCCGCTGTTGTGGCGGGAAGGCGGGGAGGGTGGAACGGAGAGGCCGGCAGCAGGGTGCAGTGGGAGCAGTGTTAAGGTTGGATTACCGGGAGCGCTGGCGGCATCGAGGTGTCTCGTTATCGTTATGTGGCGGGCCGAGGCTGGGAGGGCCTGCACCGGGGCGGGAGCGTGTTAGGGCTCCTAGGGCCTGCGGTTTACCCGCCTCGGTTCATTCCTGTGCCACACAGAGGCCTGTGGTGGTGGTGGTGGTTCCGGGTGCCTTCCTCTCCCTAGGTAGTTCGGGTAAGAGACGGAGGCGAGCGGCCGGTGCGCGGGGGCTGCCGCGGGGCGCTGACCCACAGCCCGCCCTTAGGCCTGCCGCGGTCTCCATGTGTGCGTGTTGGTGCTGGCTACAGGTGCTGTGGGAGCTGGCGGGTCCTGGTTGAGTTTGGGCCTGGGCGTAGGCCTGGGCCTGTCGGCACGTGAATGAAGCCAGTCAGACGCTTCTAACCAGGACAGTTGGTTTTAACGCTGATTAGTTTAATATTTCTTGATTATTTTTAATTTGTTGTTTTGGTGCTGGAAACAGAGTGATAGAACAAGAGGAAATGTCCTTAAGCTACCAGGGGTGGTTTAGATGGAGATTAGGAACAATTCCTAATCTCGGGCATTGGAACAGGCTGTCCAGGGCAGTGGTGCAGTCCTGTCCCTGGAAGTGTGCACAAACTGTAGAAAATGCCTTCAGTGCTATGGGGTAGTGGTGGGATAAAGGTTGGACTTGCTGATCTTGAAGAGTTTTCCAATTTAGTTGGTTCTATGAATATAGTAATCTGTTGTTTCTTAGTTATTCAGAATCGACTTAAAGTTATTGAAATGTATCTTTGTTATAGGAAGGCAATTATAAAGCAGAATACAGCTGTAATGCACATTTGTTTGATGAAGAAAGCATCACAATTTCATCCTCCCACTGCAAAATTACCTGCATTAAAAAGTAAGTATCTTCATTGCATGTTTCTAAGATAATGTTGAATTGCTTTGTAGTATTTTAATATTGGGGGGAGAGTGGGCCTGTTTTGTTCACATATTGTTTTTTCCTGTTTGTTTTTTACCTGTGTAACGATGCATTAATTATAATACTTGAGTAAACCCCATATCTTTTATTTAAGGTAAGAAAAAAGATGACAGAAAAAGCAAGTGCAGATGATTTTCAAGTTCAGGATTTTCTGAAGAAGAAGAAGAAAAAGAAAAAATACAAAGAACATAAGGAACATGAAAATGATGAAAGAGAAAGCATACAGGTTGCAGAGCTTTCCTCTGCTTCTCCACCTCTGCTTGAAGATCAAGCAGCACAGAGTGGTGAAGGTTTTAAAAAGGAGAAAAGAAAAAAGAAGAAGGAGAAGCAGCAGTCTTTGTTAGGTAATTCTTGTGTAGAACTGGAAAGTGACATTAATAATGAAACTGGAGTGGATGCTTCCCAAAAGAAAAAGAAGAAAAAGAAGTGGAAGCATAATGATAATACGGATGAGGAAAGTAATGCTGTATCTTGTATCGCAATAAATCAGAGTTGCTCTGATATTTGTCAGGAGATTGACACTGATTACGTTTATTTAAAGCTACCTGTGAAGAAAAAAAGAAAAGAGAAATTACCTGAAGAGGATGAGGTATGTGAGCTGCCTGAATCCACTTATTTAGAAGCACCTGTAGAAGTGAAGGAAAGAAAAGAGAAGATGCCTGAAGAGGATGAGGTAGGTGAGCTGCCTGAATCCATTTATTTAGAACCGCATGTAAAGAAGAAGAAGAAGAAAAGAAAAGAGAAATTACCTAAAGAGGATGAGGTATGTGAGCTGCCTGAATCCACTTATTTAGAAGCACCTGTAGAAGTGAAGGAAAGAAAAGAGAAATTACCTGAAGAGGATGAGGTAGGTGAGCTGCCTGGATCCACTTATTTAGAACCACCTGTAAAGAAGAAGAAGAAAAAAAGAAAAGAGAAATTACCTAAAGAGGATGAGGTATGTGAGCTGCCTGAATCCACTTATTTAGAAGCACCTGTAGAAGTGAAGGAAAGAAAAGAGAAATTACCTGAAGAGGATGAGGTAGGTGAGCTGCCTCAATCCATTTATTTAGAACCACATGTAAAGAAGAAGAAAAAAAGAAAAGAGAAATTACTTAAAGAGGATGGGGTATGTGAGCTGCCTGAATCCACTTATTTAGAAGCACCTGTAGAAGTGAAGGAAAGAAAAGAGAAATTACCTGAAGAGGATGAGGTAGGTGAGCTGCCTCAATCCATTTATTTAGAACCGCATGTAAAGAAGAAGAAAAAAAGAAAAGAGAAATTACTTAAAGAGGATGGGGTATGTGGGCTGCCTGAATCCACTTATTTAGAAGCACCTGTAGAAGTGAAGGAAAGAAAAGAGAAATTACCTGAAGAGGATGGGGTATGTGACCTTCCTGAATCCACTTATTTAGAAGCACCTGTAAAAATGAAGAAAATAAAAGAGAAGATGCCTGAAGAGGATGAGGTAGGTGAGCTGCCTGAATCCATTTATTTAGAACCACATGTAAAGAAGAAGAAGAAGAAGAAAAGAAAAGAGAAATTACCTGAAGAGGATGAGGTATGTGACCTTCCTGAATCCACTTATTTAGAAGCACCTGTAGAAGTGAAGGAAAGAAAAGAGAAATTACCTGAAGAGGATGAGGTAGGTGACCTTCCTGAATCCACTTTTTTAGAAGCACCTGTAAAGGTGAAGAAAAGAAAAGAGAAATTACCTGAAGAGGATGAGGTAGGTGACCTTCCTGAATCCACTTTTTTAGAAGCACCTGTAAAGGTGAAGAAAAGAAAAGAGAAATTACCTGAACAGGATGAGGTATGTGACCTTCCTGAATCCACTTATTTAGAAGCACCTGTAAAGATGAAGAAAAGAAAAGAGAAATTACCTGAAGAGGATGGGGTATGTGACCTTCCTGAATCCATTTATTTAGAAGCACCTGTAAAGAAGAAGAAAGGAAAAGAGAAATTACCTGAAGAGGATGAGGTATGTGAGCTGCCTGAATCCACTTATTTAGAAGCACCTGTAGAAGTGAAGGAAAGAAAAGAGAAATTACCTGAACAGGATGAGGTAGGTGAGCTGCCTGGATCCACTTATTTAGAACCACCTGTAAAGAAGAAGAAAAGAAAAGAGAAATTACCTGAAGAGGATGGGGTATGTGAGCTGCCTGAATGCATTTATTTAGAACCACCTGTAAAGAAGAAGAAAAGAAAAGAGAAATTACCTGAAGAGGATGAGGTATGTGAGCTGCCTGAATGCATTTATTTAGAACCACCTTTAGAGAAGAAGAACGAGAAATTACCTGAACAGGATGAGGTAGGTGAGCTGCCTGAATGCATTTATTTAGAACCACCTTTAGAGAAGAAGAACGAGAAATTACCTGAAGAGGATGAGGTAGGTGAACTGCCTGAATGCATTTATTTAGAACCATCTGTAGAGAAAGAAAGAAAAGAGAACTTATCTGAAGAGGATGAGGTACATGAGCTGCCTACCTCAGAAACACATGACAAAAATGGAAGTAAAAGATCAAAAAGCAAGAATAAAACATGCAGCAGTACCCTAGATACACAAGAAGCAGCAGATGTAACTGTTGACCAGTCACTGTTGTCACCTGCAGAGCAAAACGGGCAAGGGAAAGGCACAGAACTGCCAGTAGCTGCAGAAGCGGGTGGTGTGGCATCATCCCAGCAACGGCATGAAGATGGTGACTGTGATGCTTCTCCTGCCAGGAGAGAAGATTCTATGGTTGTACCTGCTAATTTATCTAAGCTGACTAAAGCAGCTCATCATTCTTCTAAAGAACGTCCAGTGCGCCCTGAGAAGATAAAAAGCAGAGCTTATATCACAGAGGAAAGTTCTTCAGATTCTGATGTAACGTATGTAGGCTTTGTTTGTATTTGGTTTTTTTACAGCCCTTCTCCCCCATGTTTCTGTCACAATATTTGGGTCCCAGATTTTTCTTCAGTCTATTCTGTATGAGTTTTTAAAAGTGGCTCCAAACCCCTTTACAATATATTGTGATGTTACAGAGACCTACTTTAAGAGCTTTGTTATAACTGCGAGGGTAGATTTAGGTTGGCTATATGGAAGATGTTCTTCCCTGTGAGGGTGGTGAGGCATTAAAATAGGTTGCCCAGAGAAGCTGTGGGTGCCCCATGACTGTCATTTTTCAAGGCCAGGTTGGACACAGGGGCTTGGAGCAAGCTGCTCTCGTGGAAGGTGTCCCTGCCCATGGCAGGGGGTTGGAGTTGGATGAGCTTTAAAGTCCCTTCCAACCCAAACCGCAAATAAGCTCTTGGTGCTTTTGCAGTGTGTAGAACCCACAGTTAGACGACTAGTGAGAGACAGATAAAAAAGTTCTATGTTGCCAGTGGTAGCAGGAGAGACTGTTTCTTCTGTATGGCCATGTGTGAGAGTTACGTGAGAAAGGTGCAATTTTCAAAGCTTCAAGCTTTTTGAGTATTGTAATTGTAGAAATCTGATTAAAAAATTACCTCTGTGTTGAAAGATGGGAATACAAAGGGGTTGATGTGTGAAGTATTTCTTCTTTAATGAATACGTTCATTCTTCTAATGGTTTTGAGGTCTGGTGGTGTATTGTATGTTGTTTTTTCTTTATATCAGGACACCAGCAGCATTGGCATGGGAACCATATAGAAGGCAGAACCAGAACAGTTCCTTTACTAGAACAGGAACCACAGGTGACGGCAGTAAGCATCATGATGATGATGATGATGATGATGATGATGAAGAGTACCTGAATTTTCCTGTCATGGATCTGGATACCGCAAAACAGGAACTGGAAGAGTTTATTCCTCATGTGAGGAATATATCAGAGCATACAATCATGAAGATAGCTTTAAAAGACCTAGCAAGGTTTAAAGAGTTTAAAAAACAAGGTGAGCTCTCCAAAATATCGTAGCAGTGAGGAAGGACTGTGCAGCTGTGCTAATGCTTTGACAGAGGGAACATAGTTTTTGTACCATGTCTGTCGCATCCATGGAGTCTGGTTCACTTTATTGTAATAGACATCTTTTCTGTTTCTCTGCTTGGTAGCATCAACTCCTCATTACTGAATTACAGTCCGAAGTATACGTGTAAATCCCCTGCTTCCAGCTCTTGTTTGTACTCTTTAATTTTTTTTTCTTTCACCTGTTGAGTTAATTGATCTTTTGTTATATTTGTTAAACCCTGAAATGTACAAGAGATGGTACTTGAAGTTTTCTTTTTTATTTAACAAAACTTTCTGTACATTTTAGGTATTCCTGTCAGGTTTGGCAGATTTTCCGAGAAGGAGAATAATCAAATCCGGAAAAATATTGCAGCGTTCTTAGAACTGACTGGGATAGATAGTGCTGAGAAACTCCTGTTTACCTCGAGGTATCCAGAAGAGAAAAAAGCCATCAATCGCTTAAAATTAAAACATCTATTTTTTGAAAAAATTTGTAAGTATTTAAGTTCCTTGTACAAATGGCTGAATGTTACATTTTGCAACCTGGTGATAGCACAGTGTATTTCCTATGTAGCAAAGCACTGGTGTTGCCAAATCAGGCAAAAAATGAGCGTGCTTCTGAGATTGCTGTCTAGATTATCAACTACACATACTGTTCTTGCTATTTTTTCTTGGGTTTGCAGAGTTTAGAGATGAAAATATCATGACCAGCAGCACTTACAGACTTCCAAATTTACCTTTGGGCTTTGTGGCTTAAAGTGCATTATTTGCTAGGCTGTAATTAAGCATAGTGACTTACTAATGGCAGGTTTGATTGAGCGCTGTGTTTGATTCTTTACTGTTCTTAGAGCACATAAATAGATGGCAGGTTTAGGATAGAGTGAGTGATGGCAGAAACAGAAAGAAATTATGTCTCTCTATTAATGAGAGTTAGCTAAATTTTAATTGCATTTGGATCAAAGGTACAGCCAGTCCATACAATTTGTACCTAGTTTTGTGCTGGAGAGTTTAAAAGTTCAGTTTTCAATATTCATATACAGGTGCACAGGCATGTACACAATTACTTACCAGCACTCAGCATTCACAATCTTGGCACGGTCGTAACAATTACATCTTTGAAACTCCTCAGGAGATTCTACTCAGACCATTCCTTCCCTGTGCAGTTACTGGAGTGTTGTACAGTACATTCTCTTGACTGGAGAGAATCTGTCATTGATAGCATGGTCACAAAAATGTATGTTGTTGGGGTTTTGTTTAGTTTAGTTTTGGCTTTTTTTGAAAGCGGCCCCACCTCTGTGAGACATGTTACTTAAATGAATCATTTTACCTTCTAGCTGAGGGCATACCACGACTCTGGACGCTGATATATTACCGAGCAAGAAAGATCTTTGACCCACACAATTATAAAGGGAGGTGAGTAACTTGAAAGCATTTCCAAACACTAATATCAGTCTCTGAGGTTTATTTGACCACAGAAAATGGATATAAATGAAGGTCATCTCTGGTTTGTGCCAGTTGCTGCATCTTAATTGACAGTTCATTTTTCTGACTAGTCCTTATCAATTCTTCTGTTCTAAAGTGTGACATGAAATGGTAGTGATGAAACATCTGTAACGATTACAGCTCTTTTAAGATATTGGAATGGTTTGAATTTGCAGCTGAAGCTTTGCCAATTTCCTCAACCAGGTACACTAATGAAGAAAAAGAAAAATTGAAGCAGTGTTATGCTCTGCATGGCAATGATTGGAGGAAGATTTCTGAGATGATGTGCCGTTCTAACCTCTCAGTTGCTATGAAATACTCTGAAATCAAGTCACGTATGTAATTTTAAGAAAAGCAATTCATTATGTGTATTGCAACTTCAGAAGTTATTTTAACTGTAGTTTGTATGTGCCCTAAACTTTAGGAAAAAAATCCCTGGAATGGATTTTTTTTTCTTTTTTAAATTAATTTGTGGTGGTAGTTCTTTTTTCTAAACCACTTACTGCATTTGCATATGGAAGGGATAAGAACAGTCTGATGGAAAAGAGAAAAGAAATCCAACAAATGCAGCTCCGTATTAAATGGAACTGATGTCTAAATAGATGCTTTTGGGGGCAGGGTGGGAAGAATTTGGCAACTGGATTTGGTGATTAGGCTGAGCTCTTTTTTCAGATTTGGTGTGTAGAGGTTTCTAGGAAGTGTGTTAAGAAGCTGGTCCTGTAAATAAGAATAGACATGGTCTAATGTGAGGTGTCCCTGTCCATGGCAAGGGGTTTGGAAGTAGATGATCTTAAGGTCCTTTCCAACCCAGATCATTCTAGGATTCTATAAAAGTGCTCTTTTGCCTTTTTTTCACTAATCATTTATGAGAAATTATGCCTCATTTTTCAATTTTAGATGCTAATTATGGCCCTTGGTCAAAGGAAGAGGTCCGGAAGTTAATGTGTGCAGTGGAGGAGGTGATTAGGAAAAGATTAGGAGTGGAAGATGGACGTTCAAATAGAGATATTTTAATTGACCGTGAGAAACTGTTCCAGAAATTCCCATGGACTGAGATCGAAACTAAAGTGGGAACTCGATATTGGAGACAATGTAAACAGAAATGGTAAGTTTTTTTACTGAATTGAGATAGCAAAATGTGTTCTGGAGAGTATTTAACTCTTCTGCCAAACTGTTTGTACCATGATGATTGTTTGGTAAGATAGGAAATAAATAGGAGGTAGATTACAGAAGAGGCATCATAAATATGTCTGAGACAGATAACTTCGTTAGCTGTGGTGATTTTTGTTCTTGCTGTGACAGTGAAGCCTGATTTCTGCCGCTTTGTGGCAGCAGTAGTATCTTGAAGATGCTTCCTTTTGGTGCTTGGAATTTCTTGATAAGAACTTTTTTTTTTTTTTCTATGTTTTCATAGGATTACAATTTTAACAAACAAGTTAGGCAAAGGACGGCAGTTATGGAGGGGGACCAAAGGATTACAAGTCAGAATCAATTTTATTAAAAGGTATAGTTCAGAAGTACTGGACTGTTTTTGCGTTTCTTACTGTTCTGGTTTGTGTTTATGAAGGCTTGCAGGGTGAGAATGGCATGTCTGCAGTTTCATACAGGTTTCACAACTGCTCTTCTTTAGAACAAAATGTCCTGTGACTTCTGACTGGGGGAGTTGTGAGTGTTTTTGAATTATTTCTTGAATTCTGCCTACAGACTGCTTCTGTATTATATTCCCAGGTTGCGTGAACTGAACGTGGAGGATTCTAGTGAAGTAAAGTGGGAAGAATTTAGTGATATTATGGGGTAAGCCTTCTTTTATTTTTTTTGTTTATCCTCTTTTTGTGGATGCAAAGGGTTGTTGAAGCAGACTATCTTAAAAGTTCTACAAAGGAATCAAACTTTTTAGACCTCTGCAACTATAGAAAACATCATTTAGCTTGGTAACATATACATATATCTTTGCATAGCACTGGGCATTAAACCATGCCTATATGATCTGAAACCACTTGTAACCACTTCAGGCAACCCTTATTGTATTCCCAGTATATTTGTGCTTAAAACTTTTGCATAGTCTATGCTAAAGTCTTTGATGAAAGATTTTTCCAGGTGTTCATCCCCACATATTTGAAAAAGGGATAATTATAGGAATGTGTGTAATATTCACAATGTAATAGTTTTCTTCCAAACAGAGTTAAGTGTTGAATATAAAACTATGAGTGCTGTGAATGCTGTATACTTGCTGTACAGTGCTTTTGACGTTTTCCATATACTTTCAGTTTCGTTTACTCTCTCATTAAACACATTTAGGTTTTTACCTTCAAGGGGAATTGCTGTCTTGAAAAACTGTTTTAATTAGGATTTGAAATCTGTCCTTTCTACCTAAAGCTAAGATACTGTTTGACTGGCATCACTCTCATGAATGGGTAACTCGGTATCAACAAAACTTCATAATAATTGCTTGCACACTAATTCTTTGAACTCTTCTTTTTTCAGAGGTGCCCCTAGAGACTACGTTCAAGCAAATTTTTATAAGCTAAAAATCTCCTCTGTGCCTTTATGGCGAAAAAAGACTTTTTCTGGTCAGTATCCCAGCTGTTTGTATATACTCCTTAACATTTTCACTTGAATCTAAGAGGATACATATTCTATCTGAATTATGTTTTAGTTAGCTTTCCCCCAGGTAAATTGGCTGATATCTCAGGCTTTTTACTTATTTTACTGAATGCCTTTTTTTAATAACAGTTTACTTTCAGTGACATCTTCATGCAGTGATTATGAACCTCTTTTTTTTTTTTTTTTTAATCCCTTGGCTTGAAATGTTTTGTGACTGCTTTTCTATAGTTTCTTGTGTGTCTGTGTTGGAGCAGTGTATTTTTTTGTTGTTGTTGTTGTTGTTTGCATTTAAGACTGACAGAATAATTTCTGTGGGATCCTGCTTCCTGATGGCATCCATTTCCCCTGTAGATACAATTTACTTTACTTGTCTCTCTATTTTTCTCCCCCAAAGAAATTATTGAATACCTTTATGAAACTACACTTCCAGCACTTGAAGAAAAGCTTGAAAGAGAGAAGGGGAACGACCCTAGTCCTGACAACTCAGAACCTGAGCAACAGAAGCAGGTTTTCCTACTCAGTGACATTTTTGACACCAGTGAAGAAGACCAGTTAATTGACTGCCCTAAAGACAGTACCCAGTGTCCACATTGAACTATACAATGGATGTGGTTGAAAGTGGGCACAGTCTAACAACTGCAGGTACACAGGGTATCTAGTGATGGAGAAAGTAAAGATACAGATGTCTGATTCTCTTTGTTTCATATTGAAGGCAGGTAAATACAGTTTAAGCATTCAACTTTCTGAATGTCTCAAAACCGGTATTTTTCCACTACTTTGTTTTCTGTGTAGTTGAAAGCTGCTCCTTAGCCTTTATGCATAAGCTTGGTTTTCAGAACTTTAATATGTTTTAAGTAATTTTTTTTAAATATCAGTGACTTGGGAAAGGACTTTTAGTTTGCAAATCTTCATCATCTGTTTTAATGGAAACAGCACAACTTTGAGTTGTTTTGGAGTTGTTTTTTTAACAGGTATCTTGTTCTTAAAAGCAACGGATTTTTATTTTTGATGTAGACTGACACTATTATCAGCCTTGTAGAGAAAAGGAATTTTTGTCCATTGCTATTCATAAATGATAATCTCATTTCATGCAAAGCAGAACAATGCATTTAAAATGGTTTTATTAATACTCGGAATACAGAGACAAAATAGTGTGTGTGTATATAGATTTTATACTTCTATTGTGCCAAGGAGAGTTTCTACATTGTAATAAGGAAATTGAGGGGCAAGATGAGGTTGCATTCATGGCTTTGAATGATACGTCTGACTGTCTGCCTAGAATGTGTACACTGACTGAGTGAATGTCAAAAAACAACCCCAAAGTCTTCCTGTTCCTGTAAAGTATATGTATGGTTTGTTTATATTTCTTGTATGCTGAATTAAAAAGTAAGGCAGGAGAACTTGGTCTCTGGCATATTGCTTTTTGATGGTCATTTGGGTAAGCGAGAATTTCCTTCTTTAATAATTATCATTGACTCGTAGCAAAGGATGTTAATTGAGAGCTTCCCATGTTTAACTGTGTCTGCCTTTAGTCTCCCTGAAGATACAAACCAGTGTGATTCTTGTGAGACAGGCAGGACGCCCCAGGAGATCAGCCACTGGTGGAAGGGTGAGTTTTCCAGACAGGAAATGAAATGGGGCTGGCAGGATGGGAGGAAGGAAACATACACCAGCTCCCTTGAATTTAGGTCTGTTGCCTTACAGGTTTAAAGGTTAAAAGCTGAAGAACTAAGTTTGTATTTTTCAAGATGCTTCTTTTGTTGGAAGATGGAGATCCTCTGAATCTTCTTCCATGGTTACAGAGTTTGTAGAGTAGATCTCGTGAAAATAAACTTCTAGCTGCATAACAAGATTTATTTTATCCTTTTCTTTAAAGGGAGACTTGTGGGTGAGTGGAATACACCTCACTCAAAAGAGAGAAGCAGCTCTATGTTTTATTGAGGTAAAATAATAATTTGACAAGAGTTCAATAAATTTGATGGAATTTTACACAGTTTAACAGTGGATCAGTCAGTTTGATGGCAAGGTTTACTTTATTACTTCATGGAAGAAACATATAAAGGCAAATAGAGTCAATTTAGAATGATTCACAGACTGGAGATGCAAAGGGTAAAGAAGACCTTTCCACTTCATGAGGTTCAGAGTGGACTCCTTGCTTTCTAAACTCCTGGTGGTGCTTATGTGCGGCTGGGCCCAATATTAGTCTTGGACTTGGACCACAGTTTATGTTTAATAGAATTATCTACACAAATGTAATAATTATTAGTGATATGGATTATTAATGTTTCATTAGTATTAATTCAGCATGCTCTCAGACACTTAGCAGGGATCTGATGTGAGTAAGGGATCTGGCTGTCTTAGGCAAGGATCTCTTAGTAAGGCATGCAGTCCAGCTCTAATTCAGGGAGATCTTGAATGGGGCTTATCCTGATCATAATATTTCTATGGTAAAGTGGCTATCTGTTAGTCAGAAGTATCAAGTTAAATGTCTATTTTAGCTTTGGTATCAGTCTGTACTTTGGTTATCTTATGGTTTGGGGCTTCAGAACCACCTCTTGAACTGTATTTCTGATGCACCTTCAAGTCCTTGTATGGGAGTCAGGGGTGTGTCCCTTTGCCATCATCTTAAAAAGCAAGAGGGAGGCTGTTGATGAATGTGGCTATTTAAATTTTCATGAAAACAGAGCAAATGCTGTGCAGGGGTTAAAAAAAAAACAACAACAAATGGGCCCCAACATGACAAGGGACATAACACATCAGGTGCATTCAAGTCTAAAACCCACCCCGTGTCCCCTGAACACTAAGGTGGTGCAAGCAGATACGTCGCTTCAAGCATTTCCTTGGCCTCAGATGGCGTTACAGAGGAAGAAAAGCCTCCGCTGTGTGGCATTGTCAAAGCCAGAGCCAGGCAGGTTCCAAGAGTTGTGGTTGCAGCAGAGAAGCACTTCGAAGTCGTGGAGTGTTAATGGTGCCTTCACCCATTTCTTCTGGAAAGTCTGGGACAAGAAGTTGAGGGGAGGCAGCTACTCTGTATCTCTGGGATCGAAGGGCCTGGAAGTGCAGTAGCTAATGGGGCAGAGCCACAACCCCTTGAACTTTCATGGCCCTTCCTGCCTGTTTCTGTTCCCGGATGGCAGGCAGAGCTGCGCTTGGCCGTGGCTTCCATTGCCTCAGCTGCTCTGAGGAAGCTTCTCGGCGGGGTTATCACTTCAGAGTGTTGGGGAAAACCCCCTGCTTGGCTCGATTGTGGAGCTAGAGCGGGATCTTAGTGCTTCAGTACCGCCCTCCTTGAGCCGCTAACACCGCCTGCGTTACTGCCAGCCCGTGCCTCAGTTTCCCCCACACACGCTCTCCCCTCCTCACTGTCCCTTTAAGGCCCCGCCCGCCAGTGGAGCCTACTTCCTGCGGCGTCCCGGAAGCGCGGTGTGGGTGGGGGGGAGGCGCCGCGGCCGGAAGCAGGCGGGCAGGGGCGGGAGGCGCGGGGTTGCGTGAGGTGAGGAGGGGGCGGGCGGTGCCTCTCGCCGTGACGGCGCTGCTGCTGCTGCCCCTGCCCGGGGGAGGCCGCGTTCCCCTCCCGCCGCCTCAGGGCAGGCGCTGGGCCCGCTCGGCGAGAAGCGGCGACGCCTTTACCGGCTGCAAAGGGGGCTCCGGCGGGGGAGCGGTGGCGTGGGGGAACCGGGGAGCGCCGCTTCGCTCCCTCCTCGGGCAGGTAAGTGCCGGTGCCGGTGCTGGGCAGGTTGCTGCTCGCGGCTAGGCAGGCTTGGCCCGAGCTACGGAGCGGTTTCTTCGCTTAACGTGCGCGGATGAAGTTTCCCATCTTTTGTTAGGAAAAGGCGGGTGCGTGATTTGCTGCCCGCCTTCGACGTCCGGAGGGGATTCAGGTGCAAATCTCTCGGTTCTTCAGTGGATGGCACATTAATCTGCGTGCCAAAGCTGTTCTTAGTCTATAGCCCGTGAATTTAAGCCGTTTCTGATGCTTACTTTTCTTTTCCTAGGTCTGTGAAATGCCACCGAGGCTCGGTTTCCAGGGCATGGATTACTGAAGATACTCGAGGGCATGTGTGGCTGGAGGGGCCAGCCCCCTTTCCCAGCTGCAGGGTAGCACACTTCATGTTACCTAGCACGCCCTCACAGCAAATAGCTTCCTTTTCCAAAGGTAAATACCACCTGTACCTATGTATGAGAGAGTGGGTGGTTTTGCTTTATCTAGATTTCCCTTCTTCGTTCTTTGTCATGCTAAATAGCACAGTAATTACTATCTTCCCTTTTATATACTTGCCTCAAGTCGTCATGCTTTCCCAGTCTTCAGTTGAGCTGTTCATACTGTCATAATCTGAGCTGCCTATATTTCTGCTTAGTTAGGATTTTTTAGTTTTTGGAGGAAGCAATTTGTGGTGAGAGTTTGATGATGTTTTCTAACAGTAACAACAGCTGTGACAGGAAAGTTTCGCACAGATATATTTTGCTTTTGGCAACAGGGATTTGTTGACCTAAATTTTAGCAGGAGATTAAGAACAAAAGCTAATTACGTTCTGTATGCATTAAATCTCAATTCCACGGGTACCAGTAAAGCGATATGATGAACTCCAGCATTGGAGTCCTGGAAAGTGTGCATTAAGTGTGGATGAGGGGTTACTTTTGCAACATAAAGTCACTTTTCACGTACTGTGTCATAGTTTGCAAATTATGTAATTTGTCTTACTTTCAGTGCTGCTAACGCTTGCTATTCAGGAGGCATTTTTCTGTAATGTTAATTTAATGGTTTAATCTGCATTCCTTTATTTAATTGTGTGTATCTGTATAATATAATAATGTCACCCAAGAACATACACATGTATGCTGTCACTGAGTTATGTAAATCCTGAAACTCATCACATTGAAAACTGGGTACTGTTGTGGCCAAAAGGGCATATTTTGCTGCTTTCAGCCTTTGAACTTCCATTCATTCCTCCTTCTTTCCATGCAAAGAATGAGCACGTGTCGATGGTGTACACCTAGTGGTCCCGACGCCACTGAGTTCCTGAAGAGCTATGCTTCTAAACGGTTGTCCCCGGAAGATCTTGAAGGATCCAATGAAGATCTCTGTTACTGCCTGGAGTGTGTGCTTGAATACCACAAAGCCAAGGAAAAACTGCCAGGGTTACATGAGGTAATTAAGAGATTTGGCTCCAACCAGAGAGGGAGGACTCGGACTGCAAGGAAACGTTCAAATGAGGTTTCTGTGGTCCAGCCTCAGTGTAGGGGGAAGCTTTGTGCAGAGGTTGTGTTTATTGGTGTTGGGGAATAGGTCATGTGGCTTTTTAACTGTTTTGCTTTTTATATATTGTGGTGTAAAGAGCTGGTTGTAAAGCCAGAACACCATCTTGCTTTGCATATATTCAAATTAGCAAGAGCTAAAACAGTTGTGGGAAGTTGCTGATTAGATGTTATAGCTTGTACTTTATTCATGCTATGGTGGCTTGCCATCTGAAAAAAAGAACACCTGCCAGACTGTGTCAGTGAGAATAGTTAATGGTCTGTGGTGAAACACACAAAAAGAGAAAAGTACTGTTTGTCTGTGGTGGCTTCTCCCTGAAAAGTCCTGCTTTGGCTGGACCTCAGAAAACTCCTGATCTTGGGAGACCTTTGTAGGTATAGCTGGCCACTTCTTCCAATGTAGACTGGCCTCCTACATCAGAATGAGTGTGCATTTTTGGTAGTATAAAAGCCCGAGCCTCATGCGATGCGGGGAGGCAGAACCTCATAGCACCTAGGTCAACATTGCCTCCATGGGGATGCCTGCTAAGGTTGAGTCTGCCCCCTCACACCTCGATGATGTTTCTTGGAGCTGATTTCATGATCATCATTACATGGTCTTTGGGGTTGGTAAGATAACCAAACATCAGAAATATCCTTT